TGAATTTAAAGCTGAATCCGCCCCTGCAACGTTCCTTAGCCTTCAAGTGTTCAAATGTTGTCCTTAAGACCAGTCGTTCACCACATAGAGGAAGTAAAATTTATTATTATTATAATAATTATTTTACTTTATGGTTCACCACAAGGCACCGTTCGAATGTTTGGCTGAGGTGCGCCCAAAACAAAGACATTAAAGTATTTCAAGTCCAAGCCCAGGACACCTTTCGCTCCCGCATATTCCACCTTGTTTTCCCCGATACTTAGATGTTAATTAGGCGAGCATAAATTAGTCGCATGTTGCAATTAAGAACTCACCAAATTAACGCGGTTTTGTCGGTGTAATTGGCGTTTTCCGCAAAATCACTCTGTTTGCGCTTTAAATTTTCGTTTGAACCGCACTATTATCATTAATAATAATTGCCGGGCCCTAAACGGTAATTATGATGTTGAAAGTACTAGTTTTCGTACTTTAAAACACATTTTTCCGTTATATTTATTCGGCCTTAAAGTTCATCTATCTGTCTATTCGCAGTTGTTTGTTTTGGATTGTTGGTTTTGGTCTTTACTGGAAGAGTTTGGAGATGCGTACAAAGCCTAACGATTGTCACCAAATTTTTAAGAGAAAGTCAGTAAAAAGGTCACATTTTGACACATTCGCATTGCAAGCAAGAGTTATTTTATCCTAATTTCGTCCGTTTGTCATTGTTTAATAACTTTTTAATTTTGACATTCAATGGGAAATTGACTGCAAAAACCGCTTTTTTATCTACTTTTGTCTGTTTTTTTTGAGTGAAAAAGTTTAAGAAGTTGTAACTTAAAATCAGTCTTGAGCAGTTTTTGCAAAAAAAGTCAAATTTGACGCATTCTCATCGTTAAAGACCTTTAAATTTGGACATTTGTTGAAAAATTGACCACAAGAGTCTCATTATTCTGATTTCGATTCTAAATGAACGTCTTTAGCAGTTCTTTACTGGAAAACGTCAAATTTTGACACATCATCATTGCTTAAAACTTGGCACTCGTTGGAAAATTGGCAGCAAGAGTCTTTTCATTCGGATTTGGTCTGTTTGTCCTTGTCTAATGCTCGTTAAATCTTGACATACGATGGGAAATTGACGGCAAAAACGGCTTCGTCCTCTGATTTCGTCTCATTTTTGTGTGAAATCGTTTAAGATTTTGTAACTAGAAGTCAGTTAAATTTTGACACATTCTCATCGTCTAATGCATTTTAAACTTTGCCGCTCGTTGGAAAATTGACAGTAAGAGTCTGGATATTCGGATTTGTTTGCCATTGTCTAATGACGGATAAATTTTGACATACAATGGGAAGTTGACAGCAAAAACATCTTACTTATCTTATTTGGTCTGTTTTGTGTGTGAAACCTTTGTAGAATCGGTAAGTGGAAGTCAGTTTTAGACAGTGTTTTGCTGAAAAACCGCAAATTTTGACACATCTTCATTGTCCAAACCCGTTTAAACCTTAACACTCGTTGGAGAATCGACAGCAACAGTCTGATTATTCTGATCTCACCTTTGGCCTTTTAAATTTTGACATTCGATGGGACATTGACAGTAATATCGGCCTGTTTATCTGGTTTCGTCTGTTTTTTGCGTGAAAAACTTTAAGAAGTTGGAACTAAAAGAAAGTTTTTAGTCGTTTTTTTGCTAAAAACGTCAAATTTTTACACATTCTCATTGCCTAAAGCCCGTTAAACTTTGACAGTCGTTGGAGCAAGAGCTGAACAAGAGCGACGGACTTTCTCTATCTCAGCTCGTCTGACTGTTGAAACATGGTTCAAAATATTTAGAAATAAGTCAGTTTTTGACAGTTTTTTTCCAAAAATTTATAACTTTGACACTTGCTACGAACTGATACTGTGAACATTTGGCATTTGATTAAGCAATTAGAAATTGCGTCGACATTTGTTGAGATATTTTGTGTAGTTACGGCCGATTAAGCTGATTTTCAGCAGTTTTTATGAGGAAAAGTGGCGTTTTATGCAGTCAGAGTCCAATGTGGTTAGACCTTTTGGCATGATGAACACATGAATTGAATTTTTTTATGTTTTCTGGCTTTTTAGAAGCATTTTTAAAAATCTTGGCACTTTGCCACCTTCTTGATAGGTTTTATGAAGGTAATCATTTGCAGCTTTCATAGTCCGGACTCGGTCACTCAAATCAGGGGTTTGCTTGAGTTTTTCGTTCTTCAACTGCGACTTTCGCTTTCAAATGTTTTGCAATTCGTGTTGATTCTTCGAGCGCGCGATCATTGAATGCGAAACGAACGCTTACCAGTAGTAGGCCACTTTATCGCCATGTCCATTCCGGACGTTCCTGTCCAGTAGATTGTACGATATATTGGTGGTGGCACCGTCCAGCCACTTGGTGAAAATTGGGCCTTTGGTCAAGTCGAAGTTGAACCGGAAGAAGCGGTTGGAGTCGATGGGCGATTCCCAGTAGAATTGTTTGGCGATTTCGCCCCAGAATTCCTCCGGGTTGTCCAGGGATTTTTTGTACATTTGCTCGTATTGGCTGAACGAGTTTACATAGGCATTCTTGGCCACCAGAGGATGGGGATGGAACACCTGCCCCTCTTCGGATGGCATCTTTTCAGTGAGGGTTTCTGGAAGAAATAGGCAGGTATTAAATGTTTATTTACTTATTTAGTGTAAATGATAGTGAATTTTTCGGTCGTCATCGTATTAGATGGCAGAAGCGCAAATATACGTACAAAATTCTGAGTGCCAAATATCCAGATAGCGCTGCTGCTGCTGCTGCTCGATATACCGGAAGGATAACGACCAACGATTAATGCGGTTTTGTAGCTAAACGTGCGTGTTTGTTTATGAATTCATGCTGTACGAACTCGGCTCGATAGAATGTGGGACACGGAAGGAAAAAATAGACACACGAATTTCGCACAGTTTATCATGCGACTGAACTGAATAAGACACCGCCATTCGTCCGGACTAAATCAAAATTTTGCCGCCTGCGCTGTTTGAAAGGGGATTCCGATATGTTGTGGATCATTTGCACAACCTCCAACACCGTTGCCATTCTGCCCGAGTTTTACCTCGCAGGATTGAGGATTTACCTCAAAGGCCAAAAGCCCGAAGAGTATTTTCCTCAAAGGTCACCACAGGTTTACCTGCTAGATTGCGCAGTCCGCTTATGCTCGCATGTGAAGAGTATGGAGAATGTCCGCGGATTTGCTGGAAAATTAAACTAGATAATAGAGGTTTTATTTTGGGTCAAAAGGCATCATTTCCAAAAATTTATTGGATAGTAGTTCGTATCGATAAAAAATCGTCTAGGAATAATAAAAAACAGGATGTTTTCAATGGAAAAGGTCTGGAACTTGAGTTATTTCTTAAACGCGCTCAAGTTTCACGCATTTTTTACGTTTAAACCCCCGACATTTGGATGGTTTCGTCTAGGATATCTGAAACTTTTCAAGTAGAAAGTGACTAGAATCATGAATGGTGAAGAAAGTTGCATTTTTTTCGTGGAAAATGGAGGAAAATTGTGGAGTTTAATTCTCAAAAAAAGCAGCGCAACTTGAACAT